TGCCTGCACCCGCCGTCCCGTGTCCCGCTCCCCGGCTGCTTTGGGTGTTAACGGCGAGTTTTCGGACGGACGGCACCGCAGAGCGAAGCCGGGCTCCTCCGCCGTTACCAGCTCCGTTGACGTCGCTTCCTTGGGTTTATTTATTTGGTTTATTCCTTTAGCTCAGGATTAAGCCTTTGCTGCCAAAAAAACTGAAGCCACAAGTTGTACCTCTGCTTTGGCTTCACGTAGGGACGAATTCCTGCTACTGTGTACGAGTACGGAGGATGGAAGATGGGACAGAAGTTGGGATGGACTACCTGGGAATGGAGTGCTCAGTCCGTGCTCCGGAAAAGGAAAGTGGGGAATTTCTATACTTGTGGGTGCAGAGGTCTGAATCACAACTACCTCTAAGAGGAAGAACGGCCGTTTCTTCTCTCTTTCAGCTCCTCAGTGAAGCTTTTGCTCACATCGTCCAGGGCCTGAAAGCGACACGGTCATCAATAAAACTCCAGAAATGCAGTTACGTACCCAAGTTTTTCCCGTTTTCAACCCTGCTAGCATGACCTGCTCCTTTCTCTCTGCCACAACGTGCTTCGCTCCTCCCTGCAGTGGTTACTCCCTGTTAGTATCCCTTACGGAACGTCTCCTCCCCTCAAGATTCCCTCTCCCTCACGCTATTCCTTCCCTCCTGGCAGGAGAACGGGCTCTGCCTGGGCGCTGGACACCGGCGAGGGATCACCGGACAGGTACGTGCCTGCGTTTTCCCGCGCTTGCCAAGATGTTTTCCCAGTTCACAGCACACCAGGCAGGAGTTAGGGCTGACTGACTCTGCCCCAAGCTCCTCTCCTCTTTGCAACAGCCACTTACAGTCATGACGGCCTTTTCAGCAGCTTCGTTGTGGATAAGCTTGGCCTTCTCAAGCGCTTTTTCAAAGTTTGGGATTGCAGACTGGTAATCCTTTAATTTTACTGCAACAGAAAAATGAAAACGTCTGTTTTAACCCAAGATCAAGAGAACAACAGATAATCAAGCCACTCTCTGATGAGAAGTGTTGATGTGAAGAGTGCCTTTGGCTGGTACACCGCTGAGATGCCGAGCAGCCCAGCTGGCTCCATCCTCGGAGCCAAACCTCTCCTAAGGCCTTTACCTTGTGCCTGTGCCACCAGCACAGCGGCGTGGAGTTGCCGCTCAACATCTCCCCCTTCGTCTGCTGACTGCAGGGACTTCTGTCCGTAATGCTGAGCTGCTTCAGCTTTGTTCAGCTCCAGGTAACATCGGCCAATTTCATGGAACAGCCAGGCCTTCTCCGGGCTGGATTTTGCCATCGGAATCTTCTCTTCCCACCTTCAAGCAGAGAGTGAGAAAGGCAGACACTGAGTCTCAGTAGGTGCAGTTGTGTTTTCAACCGCTAATTCTGTCAACACAGGGCACCAGGTGCTCTTGGCGTGAAGATTTCACAGCGCCCCCCCCGGCTAGCAGGGCGCGTGAGCACGCCGAGAAGGCGCCACCCGTGGGATTCCGCACGCAGCCGTCGCCTTCCCCGTCGCTGATCTTACGTACGTGTCGGCGGCTTGCTGGAACCTGCCCATTCTGGCGTAAACCCTGCCGACGTTACCGAGGGCTCTGGACGCGGCGTCTGGCAGGTCGCTGCGGGGGAAAGGAGAGGGAATCGTAGTGGCTGAAACGATCTTGTTCCTGACGGTCTGCGCTTTGCTCGGCCTTACGCGTTTCCTGTGGTGCTCAACAGGACTTCAGGCCAAGGGTTGAGAATTGGAGGTAAAGGGCCAACGTCAGGCTGAAAGTCTTAAAATCACGACAGAGTTTGGGGTTTACCTACAGCTGTTGCAGCTGACCCCGCACGACAGAGACAAAGGGGTTCGGTTTGTCTTTGGTTGGGTCTTGTGGTGCAAACCTGGCAGTCCTTGTGAAAGTCTTCCCACTTTTCTTTGCCTCGGTTTCCCCTTGCTGCCTGTGGGTCCCACGAAGCCCCCTGCCAGCTCCCAGGTCCCTAACACCCACAGGTAATTTCCGCCTAGGAAAACAGGAAGGCCCAAACCCGCGTCTCCAGCGTGTCCACGGGCTCCTGCTCCCAGTGCTCCGAACAAGCCTTCGCCCCGTGCTAGAGGCAGCTCCTATAATGTAACCTCCGGACTTCGTTTTGTCCTTCGTTAGGTCTCATTCCCACCTTTGGAAGCGGCCTGCTTTGACAGCCCTCACCTTGCAAATGAAAAAGGAGAGGATAAAAGCATCGCTGGGGGTGACACGAGGCCTGTCTTCCCCTGTCCCCTCAGCCACCACCGTGGTTCTGTCCTTCAGCTGCAACTTCACTCCGGCTTAGAACCTCGTACGTGACTTAACCTCGCTCCTGCCTCTCTGCTGCAAACTCCCAACTCCCTTTGGCGTAACCAGGGAGTGGAGATCACCAGGAAAGGGGCAGAAGTGCCTTCAACCCGTATTAATTTTAAACAGAGATTTGTGAAAATGCTAAGCAATTCAGTGGGTTACGTTTTAAAAGCCCTGGGCAGTACTGGCAAAAATCAAACCGAAATAACTTCAGTTCAAGCAACTCCGCAGTGGTTTTCTCGCACGATTTGGGAAACCCTTACGAAATCTTCAGACTGCATTCTGCCTCGCCCTGCTCTAGCTGAAGGCGCTGCCGAATGTGTCTGTCCGAGCAGGTAACCACCTCCCAGACAACCATTTCATCGTGGTTTGAAATGGCCGTAAGAGAAAAAGTGGCAGAAAACTCGTGCAATTGAGAGCCTGACCTCCCTGAGAAGGAAGTGTGTACTGCAGCGCTGACACTGGGACTCGTGTTCCCTCTTGCTCTGCTTCAGCGGAGATTTGGACATATCACGTGGCCTCAGTCCTTTAAAAATCTGCTTCACGCTTCTCATTTTTGGACCAGTGAAGGCAACAAGAGACCGTGACACTTGGGCAGAGTTGGAATGCGCTGCCCTGTTAAATCTCCAGGGGAGCGCTGCATTACCTGGTGCTAAAACGCCTTCACAGAGGTACTTTGTGCCTTGGATCTTTTCCCCATCCATCCCAGCTCAGCACTTACTTCTGCCTGGCAAATTCCAGATCCATCTTATGGCTTTGCAGCGCTGCCTCCATCTGGCCCATCTCTAGCTGAGCGTTCCCGATGCAGCTGTAGAGTTTTCCAATCAGCTCCTTCTTGTTGGGAACTTCAGCGTCCGCCCACCCTTGTACTGTCTGCAGCACCTGCTCGGCTTTCTTGCAGCTTTCTGCACGGCAGTCGCCACTCAGCACTGGAGACAAAGAGGAAAGTTTAACGCTACTACGTGGGCTCAGTGATTTGAGGAGGTAAGATGAAGTGCAGTTGTGTAAGCCTCAGACAAAGCTTGGGAATAGTTAGAGGTCCTGACTCTTCCTGCACCTCCTACACTCCTCCCTCCAGGCTCCAAGAAATCTGCCCCAGGAGACGGTACTTCCAACCCTCCTCCTGGCACTATGGGAAAGCGCTTCCGTCACAGCAGGTACGGGGAGCGACTCCTAACACCGCACATTGCTGCAGACGAGTGAAGGAGAACGAGGCCTGTTGTCTGAAGGTTTGGAAAGCTCACAGCTGCTGCAGCAGGGCCGGAGATGAAGTTCGAGCTGCAGCACCTGGGGTTTTCTCTCCTGAATTAGCCCCTTGCACTGTCCTCGGGAGCTCTGTTCCTGCGCCAGCTGGGCTGCAGCAGATGGGTCTGAGGCTACCTTCGCTGAGCCCCAGCGTAAAGGACCTGAACTGCAGTGAGGCCTGAATTCTCCCCCCTGGGTTGTAAAATATGTAGCGCAGGAAGAAGCGAGAAAGTGGCCACAAGTGGCTGAATTACTCCCGCCTTCCAGGCCACTGTTTTTCAGCTGCTTCGTCTCTCTACCTTGGTATTTTTGAACGGCAGCAATGATCACTCCAGGGGCCTGCATCCTCACAATCAAACAACTTCCGGTTACCAAACCAGCCAGAGGCGTTTGCTAAGCCTGCAGCTGTGGCCTACCTGGCTTTGATGGCTAAACGGTGTCCAGAAAACCCATCAGCAAGACCTCAAATACAGAAAAAGCTGAGGAAAAAAAATGTTGGGATTCTGTAGCTAAGAAAGTGTTGGGAAAGGTGGGGATTACAAAAGCAAAGACTTCCCAAAAGTGCCTACTAGTGTGTAACACTTGCGCTGCTTCTGTTGCTCTGGGATGCAATCGCTGCAGCGAGTAGTTACATGTGCCAGGGGTCACTTTCTTTCACAGGACACCTACACCTCTCGATGTCCTCCAAGCTCTTCACGATGTATCTGCCGGCCTCCACTGGGTTTCGTTTCTTGTCTCGGCTCCACCTTTGCTGCCTGAGCTTGCGCTCTCTCACACGGGCGTAGATAGGCTTCTGCTGCTGCCAGAATTCACTGCGTGTGTCCAGGTAGGAAATGCCACTCAAAACCAAGTCCGCCACTTTGACCCCCTGCTTTGTGCTGCTCTCCATCAGATCTGAAAACGAGATGGTAGAACCCCGGGGAGTGTTAATGCACGTGGAGGGTGAAGCTGCAGTTCTGTGAGGTTCTGCCCTGATGGAGACAGAGGCCTTGCAATGAAAGTCCTCAGCAATGGGTGCAATGAGGGAAGGTGGGGAAAGCTCCCTTGCTGGGACCCATCCCGTGTGTTTGGCGACTGGTGCTCCCAGCCCCTGTGGCTGCTGCCTCTCGGCCGACAAGAGCCAAGAAGCTCAGAGGGGCCAGGCGTGACGAGCCAGCGCCGTGCTCCAGGACAGAACACGGTCTGGGGCACCTTCACTGAAACGGCACTCTGAGAAGTGTTGTGGGGTCGACTGCGAGCTGGAAATTGAGGCTTTTCCGTGCCTGGAAACCAGGCAGCCCACGTGTGTTATAACGCTAGTAATCCCATAAACCCTGTGAGTAGACTAAATTCTTAATTACTTCTCTAGTACTGGGTAAAGAGTTCCCTAGAAAAATGACGGAAGGGGAATCACCCTTCTGCCTAGTTCTGAAATAAGATACTTCTCCAAATCCTGCATCTTGATCTTGGCAGCATTCTTAACGAAACCACAAACGAGTTACAGTCCCAGGAGCAGTGCTTTGCACTTGACGCAAGTACCAGTGTCATTGATTGTGATGACAGTTAAGTAATTCGGAATGAGACTGTTTCTGCTTTTGATTTCATCAGCACAGATTGCTCTGAGTTGATTTACTGTTGGTTACAAAAGCCTGGCATTTACTAGGGAAGGAAGTATGCTCAGACGTCGTTAGGAATACTGGATCCAGCTCCAAAAATACCTGTGATCTCCAGGCACCTGCCTCGCTCACCACCACGGCACGCAGTGTGCTACGTGAGCTCTGGCACGAATAAGGAAGAGTAGTCATAGGGCTATAAGGAGGAAAAAAGAACCTGCATAGAAGGAACATTTAGTTAAATAAAGTGGCGAAAGACCTTCATCCTGGAGCAACTCTTCTAGGTAGACCTTGTCATCGTAAAGCTCGCCCAGAAGCTGCCGCTCTGTTTTTGGATTCCTCACAGGCTTCTGTTTCCTTGTCCATTTTTGATCCTTATTCAGTTTGATTTGGAGTTTCTGATTTGCTATTTTGCTCTACAGCAAGAAAAAAATAAAGGAAGTTGGGAGAGATCAGTAGGGAACGCTAGAAGTTGCAGAATTCTGTTTACACTCTGCATAAGCCAACTTATTTTTTGAATAAAAGCAAAAAGTCAGTGCCTCACCAACTGCTTGGGTCATGAGCAACTGAACATTTGCACCCAGTTGTGCTCCCTCACTTCCAAGCACAGGAAGGGCCATTATAGTAAGAGCAAGAAATAGTTCTGCCCCGGTAGCCTGGCCTGTTGTGGAGGGCTCCCTGGTCAGTGCTGGGGGGGGTGTTAAGGCTGTGGGAAAGGCAGGTCTGGGCACAGTCAGAGAAACAGAGGCTGTACCAGCCAGGGCTTCTGAAGCGTCAGGAGGGTATTCCTAACGTTTCACATCAAAATCCCAACATTTACAGTGCTAATCTTTAGGCCCCTTTGTACAAAGTGTTTTTAGCACCGAGTACCTGTAATTCCAGCTGAGAGCAGCAGTGAGCGCTCACTGCACTGCCTTCAAAGGGAGGTGGCTTGGCCTCTCGGAGGAGCAAGGCGCTACTTCAAGGGACCAGCCCAAAATTAAGCAATTGAGAAAGTGTCCATTATCAAAAATGTGAACCTTAAACATCAGGTAAACCCAAAGCAAATATTGGAGATAAATGTACCCTGGCTCCGACCCCAGGGCAGTTACTCATTAGCCTCTGATGGGGGATCAGCAACACCCCATGGGAACAGTCAGGCTGGTAGAGAAATTTCAGACTGGGTTTTGTTTCTCCTTGGTTGCTCTTCCCTACCCTTCTGCCTTCTCCTTTCAATTTAGCGTAGCTGGACCCAGGAGCACGTTAAAAGCAGGTACAGAAATGCCCTCGTAAGGGAGCAACGGGCACTTTGCTAGACCAGCCGTATCCACATCCGTGTTGCTGCACGCTGTTACTCCTCTAACGCCTGTTTCAGAAGTGTTAGCGTTACGGTGACGCTAGTTAGCCCCTAAAGCAAGAGCTCTTCAGACCGTACCTCTGCCTGCCTGCTTACAAAGCACACATCCTCTTTATTCTCCAGCTTAATAGATGAAGGACCTGCAAATACAGAGGAAAAAATACTTGTTAGTGTTCAGGAACAGCAGTGCAGAGGCTTTAGAAGTTAAAATGACCGTAAGTGTGCCAAGCCTATAATATCCCGTGTGAAACAACGCGCTCTAATTCCTTCACATGAAATATGTGGGTGTCAGTATGTTCTGGAAAGGGGGAGTACAGCTCAGACGCAGCTCCTCCTGGGATTTCAGTGACCGTGTTCGGGTGGCACCAGGGGGGCTCCCATCACTGTGTGATTTTTCCTCCCGAGACACGCTACATCCTGCGTGGAAACAGAGGAAGGAAGAAGGGATTGCAGCTGGAGCCTGGAATGAAGGGAAGCCCATACGTGCAGGGATCTCCAGCAGTGCACAGAATGATCTGAAGTTTTCGTGCACTGACATTAGGGCCAAACTCCCATTTCACTGTCACTCTGACATCCAGTGCTCCCCCTACTCAGGTCGCCCTCTGGCAGTGGAGGTAAGAGTGAAAGGCAGCTCTTTGGGCTGGTCAGAAGGAAGGAGTGAGCTCCTCGTGCTGCTGGAGGAGGATTTCCTTCCGCGAGGCCACTGGGCCAAGATCAGTGATGCCAGCACGCGCGTCACGGGAGGCAGCTGTTTCTCAACCCGCCGAGCAAAGCAGCTTTGGGGATGTGCGTGCATTTAAAGATCCCATCAAACGCTAACGTGTCCTGCATCTAGGAGCTTGATTAAAAAATGTCATGGGTTGTAATCTCTTCATTTGCCTACAGCCCGGGTGCTTGAGGGCACTGAAAGCCCTTCACTCGTTATATCAGGCACGGCCAGCGTTTCAACGGAGAGCCGCGAAGACGCATTAGTGTTAAGTGAAGAAAGCAGCGGTAACGCAGGAAAGCCCACTAGGTCTGTGGAGTTTCCCTGGTTTTTTAAATAAATGTCACATACGAGAGAGCTTCAGGCTTTTACACAGTGGGGACGTGAAGATAATCTGCAGCACTGGAGGTGGACTGAGGTTGTGAGACGGATTTCAGGGAGAGCGAGGCACTCAAATAGCCCCAGGATGGGGGTCTGTGTGCGCGGGTGCAGGGAGTGTCCCGGCGCTGCGAAGGGGCAGGCCGT